ATTATTTTTCAATGAAAGCTGATTTACATGGTCATAAATACATAATAGATGCGATATTGTTATGAGTGGCTGCCTTTGTACCCGACGCGTGTTAATCGCTTGTTTACACGAAACCTCAAGCACAAAGCTATCTGGCTCAGCAAAGAATTACTTTAAAAGACACAAAGCTTTATTTAAAGAGATGTTTTAGACGTATTTGTTTTGTTTGAAAAGCTGCTTTTCTACCGGTAAAATGTTTAACGCCCTTAGTGGAGGTTGTGTCTTACTTTAGGTATATATTTGCACATTGCTGTGCAATAACAAAGCCAATATATAAGATAATTAAAAATCTAAGGATCGCAAAAAAGTAAGCAAACGAGGCTGGAGATCTGCTGCTGACAGTTCGCTCAAGCTGCAAATCCCTATCATGACTTCACTATAGAATTATTGCAAGTGATAACTACTGTAGTGGGGGAGGGGGCGTCACACAGGAATTTTCCTAAAAACAGAGAGAGTAGTTTTAAACTTAATTCCATCTCCTTAATTTTGTCGTGCTGCAAATTTTTCCAAGTCCTTCACTTTCCGCTATCAAAAAATCTGGCGTTTTCCTATCGTGAGTTGGAAACTACAACTCGTGCATTTTCTAGCGCATTAATTAGAAACTGCCACGTGAAAGGTTCTCGATTTTGCTGCTGCATATCGTTACTCGAGTCACTATTGTTCATCGTTACTCGAGTTTGCTGCCTCAACGTGAATTTCAGTGACAATATGTCAGCAAGTTTTTAAAAGTGGACGATTATCATAGTAATTTCCCTATTCAGACGACGGTGGTGATTCTTTCTACTGTTTCTTATACTTAGCTGAAATCGTGAGTGCGTATTCAGTATTTATTACCACTCCATGTAGCACTATTTCATATAGCAATTGTTATTTTTAAATAGTTGGTGTTGAGGTAGCGGTTGTAAATGTTGTCGATAATTGGTGACTGTTTTGCATGCATTATCTGTGTCGCTTTATTCTAGCAAACACATGTACACGGCAGGCTGTTGAAGAACATACATATGTGTCACGTAGATCTAATAAAGTAAGGATGTTACTGAGTCTGTTTACATTTAATCTGTGTTGTATTGTTTTAGAAGAAACATGCTGTTCTGATGAGGCCAGGTGGTTAGGGCGCTCGACTCGCAATCTGAGGTTCGAATTCCCGTCTCAGCAAACATGCTCCCCTTTCAACTGTGGGAGCATTATAATGTGAAGGTCAATCCCACTATTCGCAGTAGGTGGTGATGACTAACTGCCTTCCCTCTAGTCTTTTACTGCTAAATTAGGGACGGCTAGCGGACAGGTAGCCTTCCTGTAGCTTTGTGCGAAATTCAAAACAAACCAAACCTGTTCTGATGATATTGCTTTGTTGCTGTTCGTCGTTTGTTACAAGGAGTCAAAATAGGGATTTGTAGCTTGAGAAAACAATGTAGACACTATTTCCAGCCTTGCTTCTTTACTTTTTTAAGAGTCCTTAGTTGTAGGCTACAAAATATAATTTTTGCATTTTGATTCAACTTGTTTTTGTAATTTTCTGACGATCTCTATACTCATTTTATAAGTTAACAATTTTTACTAATCTTGTATTATAAGTAAGTGTCTGTGTCACGTAATTCCTCTTAAACCGCTGATCACACCTACTTATAAATGGTACCAAACGAATTGTCTGGGTCCCGAGGTTTGCACAAAAGTAAAATGGTTCATCCCACCCCTTGGGGCAACCCGGGGATTTCACGAAAACCCCTTCTCCTAAACTGTTGGACTCGCCAACTTCTAAATGGTGCCAAATGAATCGTCTCGGCCCCGAGGTTTGTTCAAAGGTAAACCTTTTGTTTGTTTGTTTGTTTTGG